ATCAAAATTTTGCTTTTAGCTCTATCAAATGCAGCTTTCAGTACTGGCTCCAAATTTCCTGAGATTTTTACAGAAAAGATCGAAGTATTTCATAAAGATGATTCAGATCTCACCACAAGCAAGCTGTTTGTTCTTTGGAATAAATAATACAACCTTCAAATTTTTTTTGAAAACAAAAAACTCTTTTGAAATAAAATTGCGGGCTGCAAGAGATTTTTTTGTTAAAGTTTGGGGTTTTAACCCATTGAAAAATCTCAAAAGCATACCAGAATTTTTCCGTAGGACATTAATAACACAGTTACTGTAAGCGGTGTATACAGTCACTCTTCAGCATGGTATGCTGTCAATTACAAGTAAGCCAATCTCTTTCCTAAAGCCCTGTCATGAGGCCCACTATTGCTGCTCGTTCCCAAATACAGTGTCGGATTTCATTCCCTTTGAAATTTAAGAGAACTGAATGCTTTCTATTACATTTATGAGTTGCGTTACTTCTTCAATAGAAAATCTTCTTTATATTTCTCTAATTCTTGTAACATCCAAGAAATAAAAACGGTGGCCCTCAATCAAATTTTGCTCTCTTCTGACACCAGGCTAACTCGATGCTCCCGAAGCACAAGGAAGTGAGTTTGGCAACATTATCTTGAGCCGCGTTACATTACATTAGGTCGTTCCAAAAGTAATTTCGCATTTTTAAACGGGCGCCACATTTGATGAAACAAAGATCACTGTGAAAACTTGGAGGAATTTGATACAGCATTTCATTCTCTTTCTAACGGCTATAAAATGGTTGCAACACAGTCAATGAGCTTTCAAAAAATAACTAAAATCTGCGACCTAGGCTTTTTGAAATGGTCAAACAATTTTTCAAAACTTTCATATCAATCCTCAAAAGGAGTTCAAGTAACGGTTCGATAGAGCAGACCCTATCGAATACAGTACAACTTTTTTCTCGTTTTCATATCTCGTCGTAATTTTTTGAAAGATTTTTTAAACAAAACCATCGATTTTGGCAAGCCTACATCAGCCACAACCGCATCAAGCATCATAATTATTCGGAATCTGAGACAACCAAGATGGTACGATGAGTGAGCATTAATTTACAAATCAAGAGTCTACGGTTTCGAAATATCAAATTTCGAGTTATTTGGGTACAGCCTAGGGCTCGCTAGAGAAATGAGTCATGATGATTTCCCCGAAAACTAAACGACTCGGAACCAAAAAACACCTGTTAGAAGGAGGGAATGCTGCATCGAATAGTATGCAAGCTGATCTTCTATTGATGTTTGATTCAGCTGTACAAGTATGGAAATCGGTAGCATCAGTTTGAATTTTGTTAAAAAATTATGACAAGCTATGCAAAGGAGAAAAAAGTAGTTTTGCATTCTGTGTTTGCTCTATAGAAAGGTTACTTGTACTTTTTCGGAGGATTGATGTAAAAGTTTAGAAAAAATGTGTTGACCATCTCAAAAAGCATAGGTCGCAGATTTTGGTTATTTTCTGAAAGCTCATTGACTGTTTGGCAATGTTTTCATAAGCTTTAGAAAGAAAATGAAATGCTGCATCGAACGCCTTCAAGATCTCTCAGAAACCTTTGTTCATCAAATGTGGTGCCCGTTCAAAAAAAGGGAAATTACTTAAAATTGCCCAAGATACCCTGAAAAGTTTCTGAAGCTTAGTTATTTTATATATATTTTGGGTAAGTTTGATTTATATGCAGCCATATTAGGTCCTAAACTGGTCAATCTCTGAAAAAGGATTCTTCAAGTGCCACGTCTCTTCTTCTTCCACTTCATCTCAAGCAATCTCATCACCTACATTTGTGCACACTGTTCTGTTGCCTCACATTGCATCCTACCGGTGCCCGCATTTCACTTTTGCAATCTGTCTTTTCCAAAAAGATTGTGATCCATGATTCAGAAGAACCCACCCCGCGAATTAATTCGGCGAACTTGCGAAATATTAGGTCATTCGGAAAGTTTTGTCGTTTGACAATTTTTTCCAGAACCTTTTTCCATCAAATGAATTGCATTGTGTTCAGCAAATTTCTGATAACACTCTTGTAGTCCTCTTGTACTTTTTTCTTGCGAAAGAATCTCAGAGAAGTCAATAAAGCTTAAAAAGGCGTTTTTGACTAGCAAATCTTTATCAGGTCTTAATATTTTTTGATAGGCACCGAGAAATTAGAAAATTTGGTGATTGTTAGATGAAGGTTTAAAAAATTTGGAAATTAAACAGGAACCTCGGTGCGCAGTCAACCCCTTTTGTGAGGGCCATCTTTCTTACATGTGGTTTGGCGGCGTCGTGGGCGAGGATGGCATCTTTCATAGCTTATACTTAACATTTGATTCAACTGGCTTGGCACCATTAGGGCGGGGTTTTGTGATCTAATTGAGGCCGCTCGCGCCCGCGACGCATCTGCGTCTCTCTCGCGCGAGTGCTCTCTAATCATTACCTAGCCTTAATTAGGTCACGAAGCCCCGCCTTTGCCGATGCCAAGCTAATTGAATCAAATGGTACAAGTTTGCTCAGTTTTGAAATTTTAACAAACGGTTTTTAGAGCGATAACACACTACTCTGCTCTTACAGTACAATCACATCTTAGCAAGTTTATAGCGTACAAGACCGGCAGAATTACATTGATTTGAGTAAATCAACCTTTTGGAATGACTGATTGTTCTGGCCGTGCTCTCAATGCTTATTCCAAATGATTTACAACAAGGTCGCTTCTTGTAGCTGCACTGAGCCAATTTTTGCTGTAATTAATGACCCACGCCAAAAAAGAAAATTCTTCATCAAATTGTGAGCAACAAAAGCAGAGTCAACGCGCCCTCTGCGAGTGCTACAATTTGTGGGGTAAATGTCACTGAAATTTTTTGGTATAGCTTTAGCGAAGGTGGCCTCCAATGGGGTAATACAACACTTCAAGGCCTGCTAATAATTCTACGCAGCTATAGTTGCGATTTGCTTCAAAGGACCCTCTGAGATGCTCGTTTATATGGCAGGAACACCTTCCAGGACACTGCAAAATTAGTTTTCACTTCTCTGAATCTAGACTTTTTGAAGTAAACTTGAACCTATCTCAAGAAAGAGGTGGTCTTGGTAAATGCATTGCGCACAATGATGGTTTACCTTAACGGTCTTAAACTCAAGTTTAAGTTTAGAGAATACATTTATTCGAAAATCGCGTTCTCGTATGTCAAATTTAGAGCCGTGTAAACTTCCCTACAAAGGATTTTCTGCAACTTCGATGGGATCTTCAGAAACTAGAAGACTTCCTCCACAGATCCATATATAGTAGCCCCTATCAGCCCTCTGGCACCCTCCTAAAATATGGTACCAACATCAAAGGCGCAAAAAGCGAAAAAAGTTTCCGAATGATTTAATAGCAGAATGCAATTTAGTCATGCACCGATTACCAAGAAATAGATTGAAGCAAAAGCACACTCAAAAAGTAAACGAATTGCAAATGTGCAGAAACGGTTCGCACTCAAAGTCGAAGGGAATCACACCGGAATTTCTGCGAACTGTGGTCCAACAGGATGACCATACGGCGGTAAGGTAATAAAATGGATTCAAATATGATATATGAGATCGAACTACACACGAGCCAACAGAAGAAAAAGCGTGGAAGATGAAAAGCGTACGGAAGCACTTAAAATAACAAGATTCTGATGATTTTGCTCCCTTATAACAGCCCGGCTGCTCCGGGCTGCTATGGGCTGCTGGCGGCTGCCACGGGCTGCTAGCGACATCTGCCACCACGGTATGAAGGCACCCTTATTGTGTATGGTTTTATAGTAGTTTGAAGAAATGAGCAAAACTTTCGAGACAACCTAATATTATACTTATTCATTATTATACTATATTATTACATTTATCTATGATTACTACATTCATTAAACTGTAGTTGAACTGATAAATTGACGTCTTAAAATACTCAGCCGATCGGACCCCTCCGGCGCAGAAATGGCAGAGCCGCGGGGTTTCCCCAGCGGTGGTCTGCCACTCGTGCGCCGGAGCCCCCCGATTTTGTGCGTCGGAGCCCCCCGATTTTGTGCTGCGCAAGTCTGCCGCGGCATACTGTAATTAGCCCTAATTAAGCTCCAAACCCCAATTTTGTCTCTAAACCCCACCCAAATTAGCCGAATACGCCCCCCCCCCCCCGGGTAGGACTTCAGCGCGACCCTCCATCCCGTTCTTTAGGACTTCAGCGCGACCCTCAATCCCGTTCTTTACCCCCTCCCTCTCACCCCTATCGTTTGTGGATAGAAGATAGAAGAAAGAATGAAGAGACAAGACATTTATTTCAAATTAGCTGCAAACAATCTCCTGCAAATTGCAAAACAAAACTTAGCAGCTTCAAAACGGACAGCAAAGACAACAGTTGCCGGCAACCTATGGCCGTACCCTAAGCGAAAACATAAGCGAAGTAAGTGTAGTGAGTTAGATTGCTTGGAAAAACACAGCGCAAAACCTTTGTCACAAAACCTTTGAGTGCTGATATCTGCATTGCAGCGCAAAACAATGAGAAAACTCGCACAGAATAGGTCCGGTTGAGAAATGAGGTACACGATGTAATATGAGACAGACCCACAACAGTGAAGAAAAGCAATGATGATGCTAAAGCCACCCCACTCGCCCTGAGTGTACTGCTAGAGAAAACAGCGAAAGCAAACGTCTACCGTTTAGGAAATGAGATACTGACTAATCATGGTGTGATCTTCAGCTTATTGCTAACAAGGAAGAAAATGCAGTAACGTGACACACTCAAACTAATTCTATTTACAAGTTATCAAGGATTTCTAAACCTGTCCTATACGGCAGACGCAAATGTATTCAATATAAAATGTATAGATTGGATTTGAGTTTTCTTTTAAATGTGAATATCAAAATCAGCGGACCTATGATGATGAGAATGAAACTATAGTTGGCTGAAGCAAGCTCAAGTTCGTACAATTGCATTCTACCGCTGCGCACCGACCACAGAAACAACATTCCTCCTAGCGAGAGCTGTAAACCATCTTGAAGCGATTATCATGAACATAGTACAGATACTTACGACACTGATAGAAATGGCAGACGAAACAGTGCAGAATTAACGCAGAAAAGTGGCGAAACACCATCACGTTGCCAGACACCATCAATAGCTCGCATGACCGCTAAACCCACAGAATGCTGCAACATTTCAAATCTTACAGTTCAGAATAGGCTTGGGTCATAGGATACATGAATTTTGTGGGAGAAGTAGGAGCCCATGACAAAAGACTTCTGTTCAGATCGGAATTGGCTTGCGTGTCTGTTACGTTCAAGGTAAAGTTACGCGTTTCCTGCGGAATAGTACTCTCAGCGCACAATCCACGATCCGGAGAAGAATTCGTACAATTAGTAGTGAAAGGAAGTTTCAAGGCAGCCCGAAAAGCTGCTAACAAGAAAATGCACTGAGCTAGTATCAAAATCGGTCATGCGGACGATTTTGAGAAAATGAGTAGAAGGAAATAAAGTTTGACGCACTTGAAAAAGTACATGTAGCCGAGAAGAGATGCAATGGTTTGAGAGGTGTCTAGATATGGTTTCACATCCGCATGTGACAGAAATGTAAAATTGTAAGTGCTTGCCGGCAGTTATACACATAATAAGACCATTTGAAAAGTTCTTCCAATGGCTAGAGCCATACAACCGGCTGTAAATTTTGCGTGCCAACCTTCTGGCACACATCTACAGTCGAGTGGATTTCCCGCTTAATATAGTGTGCTTGCACAGAAGGTGAGATGCGGTAAAATTTGCGCGTAAACAGATAGTGTCGACTGAGACGCCGGCCAATTGTGGGCGCAGAATGCCGACAGTACTCGCATGGCTACTTCTTCACGCGCAAGTTTTACCGCATTTCACCTTCTGTGCAAGCATACTATATTAAGCTGGAAATCTACTCGACTGTATATAAGTAAAGTGTGATTAGTTGAGTGAAGTCTATGCAGGTGAAATTTACTTGCAATATTCTGCATGAAGATGCGTCGCTTTGAGAATTGCAAGAAAATTCTTAAAACTGCTAATTCTTGAAATTTTGAAACTTTCGTCATTGCGGTCGAGCAGAACGACATTACAACACCAGTGCCTCTGATTAAGGCAATCAGTGAAGCCGCACCTGTTCGGAAATTTATGTAGCTAGTCTTACCTACGACTCACTCCTCCCCACTGCAGACCTATCTGAAATACTCCTTCATTCTCATTTCCAAAATCTCATAGCGTGGCACTGCAGGAGAAAAGTCTGTAATAGGAGATTTTGACTCGAAATGTACGTTTAACTTTCTAACTTTCGCACATCCCCAGGGTGACTGACTTATACTGTAATCCTCTGGAGTTGGATCGTATCGAATCGCACCCCTATTTAATCTGAGATGGATATAAGACATTAAACATGATTATACATTAAAAAGGTTTACTCACAGAGAATCGTTGTCTCCTTCACGCAAAGCCTCGCGAGCAGGCACATCAAAAGGTAGAAGTCTATCAAGGCCTGGCACAGATAGGCCTGCAAACTCGACTGCACCAACATTCCACATCAGCCATATGGATAATGCCAGGAACAAGAGATGAGCGAGAACAATAAATCGCTAAAAATACACCTCGATAAGTGACTCATAGGACTTTGATTCAGATGTTATGTCCGGTAGATATCAGATATAAAGTTACCTAGAAACCCTAACGCTTACCTTAGCATGCATCTGCCCGAAAAGCCACAGATAATGTTCGGAACGAGCTCAAATTAATCACAAAAACCACTCCATCAAAAGTCAACGATGTCTCAGCAAGTCGAAAAGAGCCAAACACTGAAAGTGATTGAGTGCATCCGCACGAAAATTTGAAACATAAACCTGAAAACGAGGAACTTATAACAACATAAACGGAAAAGAAGCAACGCGGAAAAACAACAAAATCAAAGAAACAACGACTAAAATATGAAGAAAGGCGTAAACAGAGGACTTATCACCGTGGAGTTAGACGTTTGCTTGCTACGCGCCAAATCGATACGCAGCCTGCTCCGGAGCCCTCCCATTTGTGCTCCGGGGCCCTCCCATTTGTGCTCCGGGGCCCTCCCATTTGTGTTCCGGAGCCCTGCCATTTTCTGCTCCGGAAGTGTCTCATTTTCTGCTCCGGGGCCCTCCCATTTGTGTTCCGGAGACCTCCCATTTGTGCTCCGGACCCCTCCGATTTTCTGCTCTGCGGCTCGTCCAAATCTGGCGGACTCGTGGCGGGCAAATCTCTCCGCCGCGGCTCTGCCAAGTCTGGCGTACCTCCGGAGCAGAAATGGCGTACCTTTGGAGCAGATTCGGAGAAGGGTCCCACTCGCCTGCCGGTGACGTCACCGTGACCTACTAGAGGGGACCGCCCCCTCGCCCCGCTCTCATTGTCAACTGGGTCTGCCGCGATTCTGGCAGATTTCGACTGTCCGCCGGAGGGGTCCGATCGATTGTCTGAGTAGATACTCTCTGCTGACGCCGACATTATGACATAAAATTTCGTGATCAAGGTAATCACCAAAGACTCGCTCGCTTCTGTAAGCTTGAGAAATTAGACATCCTGCGACATTTTTTGCAAAAAAACAGTTAAGCGCGTGAAAAAGCTAAAATTTTTTTTATGATTTGGGATTTTTAGGCCTTCCACAAGTGGGATCAAAAAAGTAAATTTCAACCTCGTATATTTTCTTTTCACCAACCTTAGTCGAAGTCTTTCTTATACATACTTATACTATTCGGCTTGCGACTCAAAATAAGCTAACTATAGCTATAGGGACAAGATTTTTTTAAGAGTTGTACACTCAAAAACGAGGTTCTTCAAAAAATCAATTCTTTTAACGCACGGTTCACTTCCCATTTGCGAATAAGTATGAGCAGAGATGCTCCAAATTAATAAAGGTTTACTGCTTCCGAGGGTTTTGACTACATGCAGGATTATGAGGAGTAAAGGTTATACCGTTTCAAAAAAAACTTTGCAAAACGGACATTATTTCTGCATCAACCTTATAAAATAAGACTTAATTTTACTTCAAAAGAAGACAAGCAAATTTTTATTCCAAGAACCCTGGAGGATTGGACACAAGATAAAACCGGGAAATCGCATATAATGAGAAGCTCTGACAGACAACATCTCATAAAGTAGTTACCTTCGATCCAGTATCATGAAATAGGATATCTTATAATTGTATAGGAGTTGCGCCACAGATGCAGCCAATGAACAGTGAGTACGGAGCATTTGACGAATCCGCTCCTATCTATCGGGTCCGTTACGTTCTCTAGTTCAAAGTTTGCATGCTCTTGTTACTCCATTACGCTCTCTAGCTCAAAGTTTGCATGCTCTTGTTACATTTGCAACTTGCTAACATTGAATGTCGCTTAAAGATGGCTTTCAACAGTTTTGCACTACTTAATCAACTTTAGTGTTTTCTAACCAAAAAATACAATAGAGTTTTTTTCGCCAACTTTGTCCCGTACTAAAGGTTTTGGAAGAACATGTCATGCGAGAGCTTTCGCAGCTTTACCTTGAAGAGCTATCATCTGCTAGCATTACAGAACATTAACCGACTCCACATACGTGTGAGCAACTTCTTCATTTCACCCCAAATTTACATTATTTTAGAGATATTCTGCCTTTAACACGTTGACGACAGTGCCGCGCAATGGTGCGCGGCAGGCAGTCTGTCCCTGTGGACGACGCCGCGCAATGGTGCGCGGCGGCCTTAAATTCAATACTATCTGTCCAATCCTCTCAGTTTTTGTTCATATAATCAAAATAGGCTCAGATGTACTTCATGTAATAGCCCCGCCCTTTTTGGCAAACTCCGCCCACTTTTATGCCTCTCACAAGGATCCTTTTTGTCCACAAAAAGCATGGATGAGGCTGTAGATGAACGCAGACTTCAAGCAACTTCTAGCCAGGCCCCGCCCACCGTCAGGCAAGCTCCGCCCACTTTTCAAAAGTGGCGGAAATCGCATAAATTCTTGAAATTTGGGCAATTTCCGACATTTTTGGTCGAGTGGGCGGAGTCTGCCAGAGGGGGCGGGGCTTGCACATTTTGTACTTCGTGCATGGATGCATGCATACATACATGGGCCACGCGTAGGGATGCATGAAAACGTCTCGTCCACAGGGACAGACCGCAAAAAAATGGCTCGTCGTCAACGTGTTAAGAAAAGGTGCTATATTATGCTATGTTTATACTCCTTTTCGGATTGTCTAATGAAGAAGTCAACACACTGAAGAGTTGATTAAAGTGCTATATGGACTACCACATCCCAATTACTGTGCTATTAAGAATAATTCTTATCATGTCTCAGAAGGAAACGCATATTTCAGTATGAAGAGCATATTCGCAAACTCTACGGAAATCTTTTGAGCGAGACAAAAGTAAACGATATTTTTTCTGCAGCGCTTGTTGAAATCCTCTCCGAGAATGGAAAGACCTATGTGAAAACATTGGATGTGCGCTAAAATGGCTAGTCACGTTATGGGCGGGCCGTTGCACTACATTGCTAACTTACAGGGTATGTATTGAGAGAGCAAAATCTGTGCAGATGACCGAAATGCAGGCGATCAGTATTGTGCGGCAGCTGACAGATCTCGTAAGTAGTCAAATCGAGAAAATCATCGATTTTCATCGCATGCTGCATTAGTCTGAGGTATTGGGTGTACTAGTTCTACACAAATATAGGAACTTTCAAAGATCGGAAGTTGTTCATAAGGCCGATATCGGTAATGATAGAAACGACATACGCCTGTTCACCGGGTTTCGAGACGCCATAGAAACGGCCAACGAATTTTGTGACCGTCGCCAGTGCTGGCCAATTATAAAGACACCCTAGAATTCGTCGTAATTTTCGTTCTTGTCAACGAATCTGTCTAAAACTTCGCTGTATTGTGCGCATGTCAACCTACTATGACCCCTCAAAACGGCTTGCAGTCTTGTTGAGTTTGAACGGAGAAAGAAAAATTCGAAAAAGCCGTTAATGAAAGCTGGACAAAATTATAAAGACACCTGGTTTTTCTGATCACTATCACATTCGTTGACTCTCAAATTTCTTTGCACAATTACATCCTAAAATATGAAACATTTGCAACACCTATGGCCTGTCATTCTACTCGAATAAAAGCGATCACTGCATTTTCTGCTTTCAAAAAATCAAAAGGCAATTTGCTTTAGCAAGAAGCTGGTTTGACGAGTTTTCAAGCCCTTGTTTATTTCAAAGGATAATCAAAAATTTACTAAGCATTTTCGATAAATGCAGTGAGGAGCGCTTCCATAAACTCTGCGTAATGGCTGAAATTGACGGACAAACTCCAACCTCACCATAGGGTTGTCACGCTTTTACTCCACAAAAGTCTGTTTGCAATTTTCGTAAAGCGCTGTTTTAAATTTATCACATTGACTATATACATGGTGTTGCAGCTTTTGCAACAACTTCTGCTTTTCCTAGTGATGCATTTGCGATTTAGAACCGAAAATTTTTTTACGAAAATTCCCTGCGAGTAGAAGACTCGATGAATCATAGATCTGCTTATTTAACTCTGTGTTTCATGTCATAATTCACCCGATAAATGAGATTACCTAAGATTTTGGAGTTTTGAGCGTCTCCTGATCTCGTGATCTGAGTTGGCTTTGATTGTGCAGGGTGCTCCACTCGACATTCACTGGATCAACTGCGCTGAACCAGAGAGCTCAATCCCGAAATTTTTTCCTAGTTATGCGCACAAGTTCATCGTTGTATGGCTGTCGTAATGGCTACATTACAGTATTTTCTTTTGCTTGAAAATCGAGTTTTGTGGTGCAAAAGCGCGCCAGTTTCATGGTGAGGTTGGAGTTTCTCCGTCAATATCAGCGACTACGCAGAGTTTATGAGAGCGCTTTTTACCTTATTTATCAAAAAGGTTCAGTAGATTTTATGACTCTTACTTGAGATGAACAAGGGCTTGAAAACTCCTTAAATCAGCTTGTTGAAGCAGATTGACTTTTGATGCTTTTAAAAGCAAAAAATGCAGTGACTGCTTTTATTTGAATAAGGTGACAGGCTGTAGGTGTTGCAAATGTTTTATACTAGGTTGAACCGAAAGTTCTCGCACTATTTTCAAAAAATCATAACTTCCTTCCCTTGCAATGGTTTTGCGCAATTCAAATTTTTTTAGAAAGCGTAAAGCAAGTAGTTTCTAAGAGTATCCTGGAGACTTTCCAAGGTGCTCAGGTTGCAGAGATAAAAATGAAAGAAAGAAACCATCCGAAGTCCGAATTTTTAAGCAAAAATTCTAAAAATCTAGAAGCTGTGCGATAAAATCCAGAAAAGCCATTACCATAATTTTTCTTTTATTTGATTACTAACTGAGTTAAGTTTGTGCTGATCAAGCTCTTCTTTCAAAAGTTATGATTTTTTGGAAAAAAAGTGCTAAAAAATCAATTTTCTAAGAACTTTTATAAATCGACTTTTCGGCATTTTTTTCAAAAAATCATAACTTCTGAAAAAAGACCTCGGTCAGCACAAACTTGATTCATTTAGAAATAAAATATAAGAAAACTTAGGATGGTGGCTGTTCTGGATTTTATCGCACAGTTTCTAGTTTTTTAGAATTTTTGCTTAAAATTCCGAATTTCGGATGATCTCGTTCTTTCATTTTTATCTCCGCAATCTGAGCATGTTAGAGAGTCTCCTGACAACTGTTAGAAACTACATGCTTCACG